TTCTCATTAAAATATCATTTTAAAAATTTAACATCCCAACCAGCAAAGCAATTTCTCGTCCAACTGCATAGGATATAAATCGCTCAAGAAAGGCATGAACTAAAAATTCCCACGATATTTACTTTATATGTATGTTTCGTAGGCGATAGATTTTTACAAACATAATTAGATATTTTAATTCTTAAAATTCATAGTTAAGTATTTCTATATTAACATTATCAAATTGTAATTCTTCTATAAAATTATAAATACAATATGAGATATAATTAATAATATTGACATTGAAACTAATGACCTCAGCTTCGTTGTTATTATCTTAATGATGAGTAAATAGTCCAAATATAAATAATACCAGTAATTTAGATATATTTTCAATGAAGAGTTATTTATTTCATATTTAATTTGGATGAATAGCATACTTAATATATTAACGATAGCCATGTTCACCAAATATATATATGTGTGTATATATATATATATATATATATATATATATATATATATATATATATATATATATATATATATATAAATATACATATATATAGACATATATATTTATAGATATATATATAAATATATCTATATATATATATATATGCATATATATATGTATATATATCCTATGTATATATATACACATTTATATATATATATTTGTATATATATATATATATATTTGTATATATATATATATATATATATATATATATATATATATATATATATATATATATATATATATATATATATATATATATATATATATATATATATATATGTTCACCTATATATAGAGATAGATAGATATAAGTATTCTCTATTATTACTTTAAACGTTATATATAATGGAACAATCGAAGATTTTGTGATTTTATAAAACTGTATTGTGTTCCTACATAGATAAGCTAAAAATATTTTTCATACACTCTTAACACTCTCTTAACACACACACACACACACACACACACACACACACACACACACACACACACACACACACACACACACACACACACACATATATATATATATATATATATATATACCTATTTCCTATATATATTCCTTAACAGTCAATGACGAAATTATTGGTAGTTACAATAATAATTGTAACAATGTCAACATTGATCAGGTAAACTAAGAACTTTATATAGCAATGATAGACGGAAAATTAAGGTGATTCAGAACTGAAGAGTTCGATAGATTCGATAGTTGCTGTCACTTGATCCCGCTCAATAACAGCTACCAGAATGTTACGAATTAAAGATTATTACAACTAAGCCATAATATCCTGGTGTCAGTTTAGTCTACCACTTTTTTTCTATATACTGTGACCATTTTGTCTTAACTTGGTATTAAACATGAAAATATGACATTTAAGAATTATAATTGAAATTCTTTGAAATATGGATTCCGTGTATTTTGTTGTCATCGTGTTGTAAATCTTTACAATTTTACAACTATACAAATATTTTTAAATAATGAAAGTATCGATTCTTTTTTAATATTTGAGGTCACCATTTGTAAATTTGCGGCCATTATCAGGTGACACTATAACAACATAAAAAACAAACTTAAATGTTATTCATTTAGAGCACTTCGACGTGGCGTAATGTTAGCAAGCCTGTCTCGATAGATCAGTTGTGAGTTCGATTCTCACTAGGTGCTCCATGCTTTCTGTCACGTCTGAGCTATGCATAGTGAATCACTAAATGAGATTTAATTATTATTTGTGTGCAAAAATTATCAACGTTTGTTTTCTTAATCTGAATGCGTAAATTAAAAACCAGTTTTGCACATATTTAATATTTTCATTTTCTTTTTAATCTTAAGGAAGAGGAATTCAAATTGGATAATGAACATCTGCAATATTCTAGAGAAATGAATCTTTATTTCAGTACAGTATTGCAGATTTTCGAAACATATAAATGTATTTTTTAATTGATTGTATTATCAACACTGGGCCGTGTGTTGGAGTTGTTTGGTTGGTGGGTGTGTCTGCTGCTTTTGTTTATGATACGCATGCGTATATTTATATAACTGTGATCTTGTGGTCAATCAATTCAAATGAGAACAGAAATAATTATTATGATTTTAAGAATGTTAGCCATGCTAATTACAATTATTATGCAGCCACTAAAATTAATAATAATGACAGTTTTGATGATAAAAATAACAAAGACCCGACTAACACGTACAAAAATAAAAAAATAATGAAAGTAATCGTATTAATAGTAATAAAATTGTCTAATCTATTTTAATAAAGATAATATTGTTTGAGACAGTGATATAAGTAGATTTACATAGGGACGGCAAATACTGTCACTACTCCCATCAATCATAACGAAAGCAGTAATAAAATATTCAAATCAAGCCAGAAAGCACTTTTACGCTATTGTTTATCCAAAACAAGTTTAATGAGACACTCAAGGTAGAGAGTTACTGAATGAGGTTATTTTATAGACGTCAGAAGACGAGGTAAGATGTGAAGATTATGAAGGGTGGTAGTACCAGTTAGGGTTCCAGCCATGGGAAAATACTGACACCCCAAGCTGGGGTCAAAACATTATGAAAGTATAAAAATACATTTTTATAGTAAGAATACCAGCAATATGTTTTCATTGTAAAAAAATAAAAATTACCAGCAATACATTATTAGAAAAGGAAGGGGAATTACTAGCAATACATTGTTGAATAAAAAAAAATACCAAATCACCCAAGAAAATTAAGTTTCGGCATTAAATGGCCCATAAGAAGTTGAAATGCCGCTAAACAAATCAAACCAAACGAAGATTATGATATGTAGGACTTGTAAAGATTAAGGTTGTAGTCGTTGGGGAAGCATCCTCTTGGGAACCTGTTCCACAAAGCAGCGGCTATTGGGAAGATGTCCGAATGGATCTTCTTTCTTACCAATGGAATATGAAGGAAATAAGGATGGTTCGCCTCTGCGTATATGTCCTGGCAAGTCTGAACTTTAAAGGTGTGAGCTGGGAAAGAGTGATAAGATAGCAATAGGCTTACGACCTTGCATTTGTGCAAAAGGGGTTGTAAAAGGGGTTGTCAGGTGGAAATAATTCATCATCAACAAGGCCGTGTAAACGCTTTTGTCGACGCTGGAAAGAAAGGACTGGACAGCTCCAGACTAGCGCTTATCATTATTGGAGCGCTTGAAACAGTTCCAGAGAGCTTTGCTCAAGGGTTGGAATAAGTGAAAATCCGAAAAAAAATAAAAGTAAAAACACACAGACAAAAACATTATCAAAATTCGTTAAGATTCTTCTTCTTCTTCTAATTACCACATCCCTTCTGGGCGTGGTCGGTCATGGCTCTCCATAAATTCCTATTATTTGTAGTTGTAAGAAATTTTTGATTTTTTATTAAACCCCCAATTATTTTATCGACATTCATTTCACACAGTCTCGTTAGGTAGGTTATTTGATGTTTTCATTTGCTGTTTTGGTCTTCACTATTTCCTGTGAGTATTAAATTCTCCATGCCCTCTTTCCTCATTATGAGTTCCAAAAATTTCAACCATTTTTTTCTGATACTAAGTACAAGTATCTTTTTTTTGTCGAATTTCCTTAAAACTTCTTTACTGCCGACACACTTTGTCCATTCTCACCATCTTTCTGTAGAATCATATCTCTTGTTCTTGGAATATATTTTCTCGCGTTCACTGTTATATGGGAGCTTTGATATTAATAATTCATCACTCTTTGTTTCTAAAGAAAATTTTCTCTTTCTTAATTCTTTGGTCATCTTTTGGAAGACAGCCTTCGCTATTCCAACGCGCTTTCAGATTTCTGTATCATAAAATGTTGGGGAGAATTTTGGAGTACTGAAGAAATTTACAGCCAATTGGTTTCCAGTGTAAGGCATCAGATTATTATTTACTTTAAGATTTGGACTAACTTGTATATTTTGGTTGTTATACTCACAACGTTTTGACGGATTCACTCTCTGAACTCTCGTACTAGGTAAATTTCTTGAAATTTTGACCGAACCCTACCCTTTATTCAATCTTCTCTGTTGTGGAGTAAATAAGAGACCCCTGGTAACAGAAATGAACTACGCAAGACGTCATAAATAAAGAACTGAAAGTGTGACAAGGGAAGTCCGTTGGAGTCAGTCGAGAAGAATTTCTAGCGACGTTACGGCGAGTAACGTAAGAGTGACATAATATTATAACCACTAGAAGCGAGATATAACATTCTCATTCTGCTTTCCATTGTAGTAGTCGGCAGTCCTCTTGAATAGTTCTTTAGTAGTTAGATTCGTCGATCAGCATGTTCCGCTTTCTGACGAAATAGTAGAGAGAACTGACATTGAAGCCCTGATTTACTGGATTTATATTAAGGTTGGTAATTGGTTTAGTAGTGCGATGAGTGCGGGTAGGATTGTCCTTCGTTTTGGTACAGGGGTTTTGATATTTTGTTTCGCTTATCAAAGTATCTGGTTTCTGAAAATGAAGTTACTTGATTGACCTATTCTTAAGAATGCTGGTTTTAATATTAATGCCGTCTTAGGGAGGTGACAATGATTGTTCTTGAGAAAGTTAGTAGAGTGATTTTCTGTTGCTTTCCCCACGGTTTTGAATTCAAAGTTTTTTTATCACAAACTGTCTTAACCGGAATTGGAACTCTGCTCACAGATTCCATTTCCCGGTATAACAATCATTAGATCACTCACATTTCCTTTATGGATATCACGAAGATTTTATTTTAAATGTCGTGTCTCTTCAGAGATTAGGCGATCATGGCTTTTCATAGAATCTTTTTTTTATCTGTGAATTGCCATTACTTGTTAGGAAAAATATTGAAGTCTTTTCACGTTACCTTCACCATAATTTTGAATTCAATGTAATACTTTTCTAGACTGGCTGCAATCCAGATCTGTTAAAGATAAAACATAACAAATAATAAATAAATAAAAAACGATTCGTTATAATAGTTGAAAAGCTCGGAATATAAGATGCCCTGTTGGCAAGGCAAGTAC